CATCCCTCTAAATAACAAGACATCCCTCCAAATAACAAGACAACCCTCTAAAAAACAAAAAATCCCTCTAAATAACAAGACATCCCTCCAAATAACAAGACAACACTCTAAAAAACAAAAAATCCCTCTAAATAACAAGACATCTCTCTAAAAAACAAGACATCCCTTTAAATATCAAGACATCCCTCTAAATAACAAGACATCCCTCCAAATACCAAGACATCCCTCTAAATAACAAGACATCCCTCCAAGTAACAAAATAACCCTCTAAAAAACAAGACATCCCTCTAAATAACAAGACATCCATCTAAATAACAAGACATTCCTCTAAATATTAAGACATCCCTCTAAATAACAAGACAACCCTTTAAAAACAAGATATCCCTCTAAATAACAAGACATCCCTCTAAATAACAAGACATCCCTCTAAATATTAAAACATCCCTCTTAATAACAAGACATCCCTCCAAATAACAAGACATCCCTCTAAATAACAAGACATCCCTCCAAATATGAAGACATATCTCTAAATAACAAGACATCCCTCTAAATAACAAGACATCCCTCTAAATAAAAAGACATCTCTCCAAATAACAAGACATCCCTCTAAATAACAAGACATCCCTCTAAAAAACAAGACATCCCTCTAAATATTAAGACATCCCTCTAAATAACAAGACATCCCTCCAAATAACAAGACAACCCTCTAAAAAACAAAAAATCCCTCTAAATAACAAGACATCCCTCCAAATAACAAGACAACCCTCTAAAAAACAAAAAATCCCTCTAAATAACAAGACATCTCTCTAAAAAACAAGACATCCCTTTAAATATCAAGACATCCCTCTAAATAACAAGACATCCCTCCAAATACCAAGACATCCCTCTAAATAACAAGACATCCATCTAAAAAACAAGACATTCCTCTAAATATTAAGACATCCCTCCAAATAACAAGACAACCCTTTAAAAACAAGACATCCCTCTAAATAACAAGACATCCCTCTAAATAACAAGACATCCCTCTAAATATTAAGACATCCCTCCAAATAACAAGACATCCCTCTAAATAACAAAACGTCCCTCTAAATAACAAGACATCCCTCTAAATATTAAGACATCCCTTTAAATAACAAGACAACCCTCTAAATAACAAGACATCTCTCCAAATAACAAGACATCTCTCTAAATAACAAGACATCCCTCTAAAAAACAAGACATCCCTCTAAATATTAAGACATCCCTCTAAATAACAAGACATCCCTTTAAATAACAAGACATCCCCCGAAATAACAAGACATCCCTCTTAATAACAATACATCCCTCTAAATAACAAGACATCCCTCTAAATAACAAGACAATTCTCTAAAAAACTAGTCATTCCTCCAAATATTAAGACATCCCTCTAAATAACAAGACATCCCTCCCAATACCAAGACATCCCTCTAAATAACAAGACATCCCTCCAAATAACAAGACAACCCTCTAAAAAACAAGAAATCCCTCTAAATGACAAGACATCCCTCTAAATAACAAGACATCCCTCTAAATAAAAAGACATCCCTCTAAATAACAAGACATCCCTCTAAATAAAAAGACATCCCTCTAAATAACTAGACATCCCTCCAAATACCTAGACATCCCTCTAAATAACAAGACATCCCTCTAAATAACAAGACATACCTCCAAATAAAAAGACATCCCTCTAAATTATAAGACATCCCTCTTAATAACAAGACATCCCTCCAAATAACAAGACATCCCTCTAAATAACAAGACATCCCTCCAAATATGAAGACATCCCTCTAAATAACAAGACATCCCTCTAAATAACAAGACATCCCTCTAAATAACAAGACATCCCTCCAAATAACAAGACATCCCTCTAAATAAAAAGACATCCCTCTAAAAAACAAGACATCCCTCTAAATATTAAGACATCCCTCTAAATATTAAGACATCCCTCTAAATAACAAGACATCCCTCCAAATAACAAGACAACCCTCTAAAAAACAAAAAATCCCTCTAAATAACAAGACATCCCTCCAAATAACAAGACAACACTCTAAAAAACAAAAAATCCCTCTAAATAACAAGACATCTCTCTAAAAAACAAGACATCCCTTTAAATATCAAGACATCCCTCTAAATAACAAGACATCCCTCCAAATACCAAGACATCCCTCTAAATAACAAGACATCCCTCCAAGTAACAAAATAACCCTCTAAAAAACAAGACATCCCTCTAAATAACAAGACATCCATCTAAATAACAAGACATTCCTCTAAATATTAAGACATCCCTCCAAATAACAAGACATCCCTCTAAATAAAAAGACATCCCTCTAAAAAACAAGACATCCCTCTAAATATTAAGACATCCCTCTAAATATTAAGACATCCCTCTAAATAACAAGACATCCCTCCAAATAACAAGACAACCCTCTAAAAAACAAAAAATCCCTCTAAATAACAAGACATCCCTCCAAATAACAAGACAACCCTTTAAAAACAAGATATCCCTCTAAATAACAAGACATCCCTCTAAATAACAAGACATCCCTCTAAATATTAAAACATCCCTCTTAATAACAAGACATCCCTCCAAATAACAAGACATCCCTCTAAATAACAAGACATCCCTCCAAATATGAAGACATCCCTCTAAATAACAAGACATCCCTCCCAATACCAAGACATCCCTCTAAATAACAAGACATCCCTCCAAATAACAAGACAACCCTCTAAAAAACAAGAAATCCCTCTAAATGACAAGACATCCCTCTAAATAACAAGACATCCCTTTAAATAAAAAGACATCCCTCTAAATAACAAGACATCCCTCTAAATAAAAAGACATCCCTCTAAATAACTAGACATCCCTCCAAATACCAAGACATCCCTCTAAATAACAAGACATCCCTCTAAATAACAAGACATCCCTCCAAATATGAAGACATCCCTCTAAATAACAAGACATCCCTCTAAATAACAAGACATCCCTCTAAATAACAAGACATCTCTCCAAATAACAAGACATCCCTCTAAATAACAAGACATCCCTCTAAAAAACAAGACATCCCTCTAAATATTAAGACATCCCTCTAAATATTAAGACATCCCTCTAAATAACAAGACATCCCTCCAAATAACAAGACAACCCTCTAAAAAACAAAAAATCCCTCTAAATAACAAGACATCCCTCCAAATACCAAGACATCCCTCTAAATAACAAGACATCCCTCCAAGTAACAAAATAACCCTCTAAAAAACAAGACATCCCTCTAAATAACAAGACATCCATCTAAATAACAAGACAACCCTTTAAAAACAAGATATCCCTCTAAATAACAAGACATCCCTCTAAATATTAAAACATCCCTCTTAATAACAAGACATCCCTCCAAATAACAAGACATCCCTCTAAATAACAAGACATCCTCCAAATATGAAGACATCCCTCTAAATAACAAGACATCCCTCTAAATAACAAGACATCCCTCTAAATAAAAAGACATCTCTCCAAATAACAAGACATCCCTCTAAATAACAAGACATCCCTCTAAAAAACAAGACAGTCCTCTAAATATTAAGACATCCCTCTAAATAACAAGACATCCCTCCAAATAACAAGACAACCCTCTAAAAAACAAAAAATCCCTCTAAATAACAAGACATCCCTCCAAATAACAAGACAACCATCTAAAAAACAAAAAATCCCTCTAAATAACAAGACATCTCTCTAAAAAACAAGACATCCCTTTAAATATCAAGACATCCCTCTAAATAACAAGACATCCCTCCAAATACCAAGACATCCCTCTAAATAAAAAGACATCCCTATAAATATTAAGACATCCCTCCAAATAACAAGACATCCCTCAAAATAGCCAGACATCCCTCTAAATATTGACATCACTATGTATCTAATGATATCAATACAATATGTAGTGATATCATTTAAATGTCTAATGATTTTCTATTGTTTTTTTCACTAGGGTGGGGTTGCGCCATTGACTTTCTCATCTCCAAAATAGGGTAAAAACATATATCACAACCCCTCATACCCCCAACAACACCTATTTTGTACCCACTCCCCAAATCCATATGCCCCCACCCTAAATCGAAAACTAAGACAGACAGAGGGACAGGGTTTGCACCATTGAGTTTCTCGACCCCAAAATAAGGTAAATACATATATCACAACCACTCATACCCCCAACAACACCTATTTTGTACCCACTCCCCAGATCCATATACCCCCACCCTAACACGAAAACTAACAAAGTTAGAGGGATGGTGTTTGCGCCATTTAACTTCTCACCCCGAAAATAGGGGGTATCCATGGTTTTGTACTGCTTTATAGACAAAATCTCGAAAGCTATATACATTTAGCAAATGGGGGGGTGTCGCCCCCTTACAGGTCAAGGAGGGCAATATAACTGTTATAAAGGGTGTATTTGTATTTAGGAAAACATAACAAATCAATCTAATGGGGAAAAAAATATTTTGGCTGGGGGGGGGAATTCCCCCCCTTGTAAGTAGGAAGGGGGGTGTTAGGTCGTCGGCGATGGTTCCATTGGATTCCTCACCCAAAAAATAGGGGATATTCATTATTTTTGTACTGCTTTACCGACATATTCTCCAAAATTATATATATTTTGTCAAAGGGAGGGGGAGGGTCTTCCCCTTACAGAACAAGGGGGCAGTATAAGTGTAAAAATGAGTTTATTTGTATGGAGGATAATATAATAAATAAATACACATGGAAAAAAATATATTTTATTCAAAGAATATCCATCTACCCCTTGTAATTTGAAAGGGGGGGGCTCGTAGGGGGACGGCGATGGTCCCATCGAGTTCCTCGCCCCAAAAATAGAAGGGCTACATGGTTTATACTGCTGTAGATACAAACTGGAGAAAATCCCTTAAAGGGATCAAAAGTTTGAAAAGATTTCCCCGAATAGGGATAAATCTCGCTTAAAAAATCCCACTCCCCAGAGCCATACACCTTGTCCTTAACACCTACACCATAGATAAAACATACTCCCTTAGCCTACACCGACACCTACCAATATGGAATCTGAAAACACAGATAGGGAGGTTAGTATCCTTTTCGGTTTACGTTTTTATTGATCATTTTTAAATAGCTAAGCTAACATTTATTAATTAATGCCCTTATAAAATTATTATTATGGGTACAGTTCCTTAACTAGGCTACACTACTGTAATATCGATCATTAATCAATATTTTTTAACTAATAAAATGAAAGGTATACAACCTAACCTAACTACTGTAACCAAACTTGCTGATATGAGATAACCGTAATCGAATGAAGGTTTTGATATTTTCAATCGAGGGTAGGACTACAGTTTCTTAAAAAAAGTTAGTTTTCAAAAGTGCTAAGAGCTTTATAACACTGTTAGGCTACTTGTATATAGCAGATCCTGCTAGTGAAACTTATAACTTACCATAGCAAAATTTGTGCTATCCATAAGGAGTCAGTAAAGATCAAAAGGATTAACTTACGTGCTATATCTAACATTGCTACCCTATATGTAGCAATGTTATACAAATATTTTTTGTCTAGCATAGGCTACATGCTATGTAGCATTTAGTGTCATCAGTTCATAGTTGTAGCCTCCTAGGTGCGGATGTTTTTGCTCAGCGATCTTTGTTTACAGTGGAAGGACTGGAAAATGACAGTGTGTGGGATCTGGATGCTATTATAAACTTAAATGAACTGTTCCGTGGACAACCGGCTTTTTGGTCAGCTAACATCGCCTTATTTCACGTTCCAATTATGGATCGACAGCGTGATTGTCATCATTAAGGTCCTGTGATAAATGTGCTACACTGTAGCCTACTTATTTCTCGAAGCAAGAATCGGTCAAACATAAAACCTTCGCTTCCGCCTCTGTCTTCCTAAGATGACCGTGATAACTTAGCTGCCGCGAACAATAACTTAGGTCTCTTCGGCTGACATTTCATTTTCGATTCGGAATGCAAATGAGGTTGTGCTACATATATAGCACGAGCACCGGAATCACTAAAATTGTCTGTAGGCCTACAGTATCTTTTTTGTACCGTAACGTGGTATAGCAAAAGTTATATAAGTAGCAATGTTATATACCGGTAGCCAAAGTTATATAAGTTTTAAGTCTTTGGCTCTCAGATTGTTTACCGTTAGTCAAAGATTTGCCTTCGTCTTATTGTGTCTTGTGTTGGTGAGGTGTTGCTGCAAAGGGCTGTTTTAAAACACTCTTATTGAAAGTTGTTTGAGAAGGGGAAACTGTGGGTTTGGGAAATGAAAGGTTTTGACACATAACTTACAGTGTGACAAAGACATTCGATTCAGAAATTATGGAGTCTTGATGTCCAACAGTGAGGAATTTGGCGACTCGAGATTACTCAAAAGTTAACAACTTTCAATTACCAAACAATTCCAAACTAAAAAGGGTAAAATTATAGGTCTATAAAAAGTAAACTAAAAAACGGGTTTACACTATAGGCCTAATGTAGCAAAACCTGCTAGCCTATACTGTAAAGCAGATTTGTGTAACATCTAGCAATGATATCACATTTGCTAGAAGTAGAAAAAGTAACTTTTCAAAAGTGCTACTTATACCTAGGTAGGCCTACTTATAACACTGCTAGGCCTAGATATACAGGGTGTTCAAAAAAGTTGAGGACATAATTTACGGAGGGATTCCTTGAGTCAAAATAAAGAAAAAATTAAGAATAGGTAGGCTTACCGTACCGGTAACATTTTTTCCAAAATCGCTTCTTTAACCAGATATCCGCCATTTTGTATTTCTTACATTGTAACATTTTTTTATTTTAGCACCGAAATCACTAAAATTGTCTGTACGGTATCTTTTTTGTACTGTACCGTGTCATAGCACTATTTAAAATTTAACTTAAATGTCTTTTCAAATGTGTCTATTTTATCTTGAATTTTTTTACTCAGTGAAGGCTTGGACATTGTTATTTTGTCTTCATTATGTTGTAGAGAATTTTTGGTCATATTAGATGTAGGCAAAATACTTTTATTTTATTTTTGTTACTTGTGTTGATGACTATTCTGTCAACTATCTCTTTCCTTCCATTCTCTGGATGAGATTTGCTACTTAAATTAAGAACAGTTACTTAAATCCAAGAACAAATAACATGTTTAGAAAAAAGTATTTATTTGTTTTAGGAACAAGTTAGTGAAATTGCAGTTGATCTGAATACCCTAACAATAAGCGAGGAAGAAAAGGAACCGGTTCTCACAGAGGACAGTTTAGTGGAGGAGCCACAAGAAGATGACTACACCAACAGTTCAGAGTGGAAAGAAAAGAAGAAGCACATTTTTATACTGAGTAGTGCCGGAAAGCCAGTATATTCAAGGTATAAATTGATAAAATTCTTAAAATTGGTTATTGTTGTAACAGGCCAATATAATATAATTATTAGGACCGGAGGAAGTGATTCATACATAGTACATAGTAAGAATCTCCACAGAGTACATACTAAGAAAAGGTTTAAATTACCTGTATCCGTCAAGTGATCCTTGTTTGTAGTTGGTTGACTACAGCTGTTTCATGTTAATATTAACACATCTTCAGGTCAAATTATTGTTGCATTGATTTATTCCATAGAATGGTTGTCTATGGAATAAATCAATCCAATGTAACAATTTGACCTGAAGATGTGTTAATATTAACATGAAACAGCTGTAGTCAACCAACTACAAACCAGGATCACTTGACGGATACAGGTAATTTAAACCTTTTATTGTAAAAATCAGTGATCCAGAGGTTATACCATAAAAATGAAAGAGTACTAAGGTACAGAGGAAGGATTCAATGGTACACTTAGTGGTATCTGGAATTAGTGCTGATGTCTAGGGGAAAGTCCAACACTGCCCTCTCACCATCATGTACTACAATGCTCTCGGTGGAGGAAGACCATGTGCCCTGTGTGATAGGAATTTCCATAAATGTGTTTCCTTACTTGTCTTTTATGTGGAATCTCTAAACCGATCGACGCAGAACAATGTTCATTATTTCTTTAAAAATATGTTTTTAGGTTATTTTGTTTTATGATTTTATAGAATATATAATGCAACATAATATGCTATAGCCTATTTAACCAAAATAACAGCAAAATAGACTTAAGAAAATGTCATTATGCTCAGGATCACCTATTGAATTAAATGGTTTATATTACCTGTCCGTCAGTGACGACAATAGGATCACTGATGAACAGGTAATGTAAACCATTTAATTTAAGACAATTATAACGATGGGCTAAAATCATGAGGTTTATTGATCAATAATATTTTATTTACTCATGTTTTTATGTTGTAATATGTATAATATTTTTTATAAAAAATTGTATTTGTAAATAAGGTTATTTGATTATATCAATGCTCACTCCGCTCAATTGGCAGACATAAGGCTGCATACCTAGTAGTTTTTGACCTATTGGTACAAGTATAAATTATTTGACCAAACGAACATTTGACTTTCAGCAATTAACAATCCCTTATTGAGGGTCAATTGTAGCGTTACTGGGGTCATGAGGATTGTTGAGGGCCAATTGTAGCGTTACTGGGCTCATGAGGATTGTTGAGGCTCAATTGTAGCGTCACTGGGCTCATGAGGATTGTTGAGGCTCAATTGTAGCGTTACTGGGCTCATGAGGATTGTTGAGGGTCAATTGTAGCGTTACTGGGCTCATGAGGATTGTTGAGGCTCAATTGTAGTGTTACTGGGCTCATGAGGATTTTTGAGGGTCAATTGTAGCGTTACTGAGCTCATGAGGATTTTTGAGGGTCAATTGTAGCGTTACTAGGCTCATGAGGATTGTTGAGGCTCAATTTTGTAGCGTTACTGGGCTCATGAGGATTTTTGAGGGTCAATTGTAGCGTCACTGGGCTCATGAGGATTGTTGAGGGTCAATTAGCGTTACTGGGCTCATTAGGATTGTTGAGGATCAATTGTAGCGTTACTCGGCTCATGAGGATTGTTGAGGGTCAATTGTAGCGTTACTGGGCTCATGAGGATTGTTGAGGGTCAATTATATTATAAATTCACTGGAGCATGCTACCAGTCTGATGTTGAATATTTGTAAACTTAAATTAAATACTGAGCCAAACCATATCCGTGTCACAGCCATATATTACTCATGACCTAATTATTATAACACATTTAAATAACTTGTATAACCATACAATCAAAGAATTATCAATTAATAATAATTAAGAATTACTAATCATAGGAACATATGTGATTCTTCGTCAGATACGGCAACGAGGATCGGCTGGTGACATTGTTCGGAGTGATGCAGGCGTTGGTGTCATTTATACAAGACAGCAATGATAGCATCCAATCCATACACGCAGGAAACTGTGTCATAGTTTTTCTGATCAAAGGACCGATCATGCTTGTGTCGGTCTCGCAACTCTTCGAGTCCGTCGATCACTTGTCCTTACAGCTTAGGTGAGTTGCACTGGATTAATCTTTTTGTTGTGGTTGCAGTAAAAATATTTAAACTTGGTCACTCTGGAACATAACAACTTAAAAACCCTTTTGTTTTTTATTTATCACTATTTGGTGAAATAAATCAAGCACTCTGATTTTCTAAAGCTCCTCATTTTTAATTTATGAGCATGCTTTAAAAATCCTTAGAATTTCTCATCCTATGGTGCTGTAGAAATTCAGTTTGATTAAGTCCATTTTAGCAAATTTCCCTATTACCGTAGGTGGCACGGTAAGACCTAGGCCCAACACTGATTTACTTTTTCATTTTGATGTCCCCAGAGGCCAAAAACACCGTTCGTTCAGATTTATATATATACACATATATGTATAAATAGTTGTTATATAAGTGTCCGTGAACATGATAAAACTCGAGTAATATTTGTCCGATTTTGATGAAATTTGGTTTAACGTTGGGCTGGGGCAAACGTTCACCTCCCCCCCCTGCTGCTGCTATTATTTGCGTTATCTGAATTCTGAAATGTCTTGTGTCGCTACACTAACACTAGTCGCTTGTTTAATGTCTACCCAGGCTCTGGTCATGGACTAGGGGGGGGGGGGGTCTGCAATTCATCTTCAACTTAATTAATTGTAACATAAAATAATGATTCAAAGAATGGCCAATTACCACCTTACTGGTAGTATGAACATCCAAATATATACACACCCCAGTGACATGCACACTGATTTTTTAAACCTGTTAAAATATCAGTATGATGTATTTTATGTAATGTAGGCTAATTTAACATTTCATTTATAGAGTCAAAATATTTACTATGTACGATTTTATAATTTGGTATAACTGTAGCATAGACTAACCAACACAAGTAGACTTCTCATCCCATTGTAAATTTTGAAGCACGTTTTTCGTGTCTAGTTCATGTACGTGGCACAAAGGCGCCAGTGTCGATGAAACTTTGTTTCCATTATTTTAGGGTTAGTTTCTTGATTTGTGCTTTACTGTTTGGTTATATAACTAGGGGACAAGTTATTGTTTATGATTAGACCGTATTATTTGTTTAAACGAGGTTTTAAATGGCTGTAATAACGGGAAACAAATTGTGAACAAAACACGACCTCTACATAAACCGTACATGAACTAACAATAATATTGTCTTCAGCTGTTCCATAAGGATGAGAAATCTACTAAGGGAGTATGTTTTATCTATGACTGTAGTTATAATAAAAATCAACCTCATACCTCAATAGCAGGTACAGTAGAACTCCAATTATCCAAACTCCAATTAACCGAATCTCCAATTATCCGAATCGCTTATTTCAACAATTTTAAAAACGTAAAGCTACAGTAATAAGTTTTGCAAAATATCAAAGAATTGTTATTAAACACATTTAGCCAATTTTGGACTTTGGTGGAACACTATTGACTTAATAACATGTATAGAACACTTGTACTATGAGCATTGTAAACTGTAAAAATGTTCTGATTGAAATTATTATTAATTAAAAGTTCACTTAGTACTGAAAATGAGGATTTTTCTTTAAAATTCCCGGAATTCCGGTAAAACTCCGATTATCCGAATTTTTGATTATCCGAATGGTGCCTGGTCCCTATTGATTCGGATAATCGGAGTTCTACTGTACCTTGCAAATTATTTTTCCATACTACATTAAACTGTTAGATCTCCTTTGCAACTAATAATACCCCACTTTTTTTCTTATTTATATTAATGATCTTCCAAAAGCTATAAAGAACTAATTCTTTTTGCCAACGACACTACTGCTTTGATAAAAAATAATAATACAACTGATATGTTTTCTTCTCTGCAAGGTGTGTTAAAGGATATGGAGCAATTTTTTTTAGAAAATGGGTTAAAACCTAATGTTGAAAAAACAAATATTATTAAATTTTCTACTAGACACAAAAATATGGAAAACTGTTCTTTTAATTTAGGCTAGTTGAAGCTCATAAATTCTTAGGGGTTTATGTAGATGACGCAGTTAAATGGGATTCACATTTAAATTATCTACTTACCAAAATTAGGTCGATATAATCTTTATTCATACATTTAAGGGACTGTGTTTCTATTACTTACTTTACTTACTTACTGCCGTGGCTCCACAAATCTCAGTTGATTCTTCGCCTCTATTGTGTTTCTATTGAGACACTTAAAGTCGTTTATCATGCCTATCATGAGTCGTTATTAAGATATGGCATAATTTTATGGGGTCAAGCTACTGGTATTAAAACTATATTCAGGTTACAAAAACGTATTATTCGCATTATCACCAACTCTCATCCACGCAGTTCTTGTAAGAAACATTTTCAAAATTAAAAAATTCAGACATTAACGGGGTTGTATATTCTAGAATTATTAAATTACATACATTCAGTTAAAAATGAGCTACCAGAAACAATACATTTTAATCACAGGTATGAAACCCGAAATGAAAATATATTTAGACTCCCCAAACACCGTTTGACCCTATATGAAAAATCTCCATTGTATGCAGGGCTGAGATTGCGTACAATGTGCTTCCGCCGTGCTATAAGTCACTAAGCAAAACCAAATTTAAAGAGACAATAGATAATTTACTTATTGACAAGGCTTTTTACTTAATTGAAGATTTTACAGAACTTCAATTTAGAGCATTTTTTTTTCATTTTAAGTGTTTAATTTTAAGTTTAAATGTTAAATATTTTATGTATGGATATAACTTTGACAATGCACCTATTCTAAATGTAATGACATGTATGGAATGTTTTGTGCAAATAAAGTATGTCTATGTCTATGTCTATGTCTACCCCTGTCGCAGCAAACCTGCAGACAAAGCAAATTTCCATTTACCTGGCTGGAATTCTACTAAAATATTCCCTGAAAATTGTCAGATTTATTTCCTATTTAAATAACATTATCTTTAATGAGTACCTAGGTTTGTTGCTACAGGGAAGGTATTGAGGTGTGTTTTTGATTGAAATGTTGATAGCTTATTATGAAATAAACAAAATTACCAAATTTGATTTAAATATGTCCATAAACAAGCAAACTACAACAGTTTATTAATTCTCCATAAGAATAACATGGGAATTTTAAATTCAAAGTATTTTTAACTATCTCTGTAACCGTTAGGCAAACAACAACGCTTTAATATACAAAATTATTTATTTTTTAAGCTCTAAAAATTAGTCTGGAAAGAAATTTTAGGTAAAATTATACGATTTTAGAGTCAAAAATGGGTAAAACCAATTTTTACCCCATAACCCCCCCCCCCCCCCCCCATAAACCCCCGTTCCCATAGTCCGATCATGCTGGTTCGCGAATAAATGTATAAATGTATGTTTACACTTTTTAACTAAATTTCATCAAAATCTAAACATTTTTGAACGGATGGTGTTTGTGGCCTCTGGGGACCTTAAAATGAAAAAGTCAATCGGTCCCGGGTCTAGGTCTTTCCATGAGTCCTGCGGTAATAGCTTATTCCCTATATGGGAAATTCGCTAAAATGTAATTGTTATTATATAATACATGTGCTCTATTTGGGGCTTGGTTAAAAACACACTAAAAATAAGTAGCATTCAAATTTAATAAAGTTAGGTACTGTAAATAATGAATGAATGAATGAAATGTGCTTTATTGATCAATTTTTTACATGACACAATGATACATACTTATGTGCACACAAAAACAATGGTTACTAAACCGTCTGTTTGGTTGACACATTAATTTATGTTTGTAAATAAATAACAGAAAGTAACTCCTTGACAAAAGCCTGAAAATAAAATAGGTAATAAACTTAATTTAAAATACATTTTTTTTTACATTAAAAGATCTATAAACAGAATTGATAACAAAAGTCACAAACAAGGAAAAAATACTTTTTGAGATTTAATTGCTTTTTTTCAGTTGTCTAAAAGTTAAACTCCTGTATTAGATCCCATCTAACACTCCAAGATTCTCTTAAAAAAAACTGTAAATACTGTACTGTAAATCAGTGAGAATGCATAAACTGTGAATGCTTTAATTTGTCTATTACTGTAAAATTGTTTAAACTAACCATCTTGTATTGTTTTTAATGTTATTTATTTAGCTATGGTGAACCAAGAGTTGGAACTATGTTAGGTTTCAGACGCTGGGATCTCTCAATGTTGTGGTCTGCTTCGTGGACTATTTTTTACCCTCTTTTGGGTCGGTTTTTCAATTGTTGCTGGGCCTCAATGATGGAGGGAGGATTCATTATCCTCATATTTCTAATGATGCGACTGTCAACTATTTCTGGTAAAATAATTCCTGGTAGATTTTTACTAATTTTGGTCGTACTTTTGGCCAGAATTCCTCATCAATAAGAATCCTCTCAACGAACAACTCTCTTTTTCTGGTGAAAATGATGAAGTCACACCACTTTATAACCTTTCTGTGTTGGAGCAATTACCAGAACTTTCTAAGCTGGAAATTGTCCGTTCAACTATTTTTCCTGTTATATACTATGCTCTTCCTGCTTTTGCCTGTTGCCTTACTCGGGAAAATTTGATGATCCTTACCTGGCTGCAGAACAGAGTGCTTAGATTTTTCTGCCATCTGAAAAAAATTTATCACACTAGCGAGTACAGATTGAGTGCCAAGGTGTTATCAATCATGGGGTATTCCGACATACAAACTGTAAATCTGGTCCGCAAAGTTCTTTAGACGGGAAAACCTGATTACCTAATGAAAAATTTGGTGTTTAGGCATGAAATCAATGAGCAAGGTACTCAACAGGACAGCCTGTTGCACTTGTCAAAGACAAAACTGGAAACGGGGAAGAAGGTGTTTAGTTACTTTGGCCCAAAAAAGTACAATGCTTTGCCACCCACTTTAAGAGTACAGTTATACTAGGTTTAAGAAATGTGTAAAAGAAATGTTTACCTAATCTGTATAGATATTTTTACTTTTGATTTTATGTATGGATTTTTTTATTTTATTTACTTAATTTGACAAAAGTTGTCATGAAAAACAGAGTTTGTA